TGCCCGATACCAAGCAAGGCGCCGAGGAGTCGGGCGACAACAAGGCGCTGGAGACTGCCAAGGGATCCGGGTCTAAGCCAGAGGATCCGGCTCAACACAATGCTCCCCATGGTCCCACCTTCACCATCCTCGACGCTCTCTCTGCCACTGGGCTTAGGGCTCTGCGATACGCCCAGGAGCTCCCCTTCGTTACCTCTGTTACTGCCAATGATCTCCTTCCTTCCGCCGTCGAGGCCATTCGCCGCAACGCCGAACATAACGGTGTCGAGTCGAAGATTATCGCCACCGCGGGTGATGCACGTGCTCACATGTACTCTCTACTGGCCGAAGAAATCTCCCGTGATCACGAGAGGGGGAAACACTTCAAGAAAAATAAGCATAGGGGAAAGAGATATAATGTCATTGATTTGGATCCCTACGGAACGGCCGCCCCGTTTCTCGATGCCGCAGTCAATGCGGTCCGCGACGACGGCGGCCTTCTATGTGTGACCTGCACCGACTCAAGCGTATGGGCTTCGAATGGGTATCCGGAGAAGGCATTCTCCCTCTATGGCGGAGTTTCCCTCAAGGGTTCTTATTCCCACGAAGTCGGGCTACGACTGATTCTACACGCCACTGCCACATGTGCCGCAAGGTACGGTTTAGCAATTGAACCGCTTCTCAGTCTGTCAATCGATTACTATCTCCGGGTTTTCATCAAAATCAAGAGAGCTCCAGCTCAAGTCAAGTTTCTTGCAGGCAAGACGATGGTAGTATATAATTGCGACCAGGGGTGCGGCGCATGGGAAACCCAACTTCTAGCTCACAACAAGAAAACAGTCAAAAAATGGGAAAAGGGTACATACTATAAACATGGCTCCGCATTAGCCCCGACGGTTGGTACAGACTGCAAACATTGTGACTCGAAAATGCACATTGCTGGGCCTATGTATGCCGGACCCCTGCACTCTTCAGACTTCATCAAGAAGATCCTAGATGACTTGCCCAATGCTTCGGACGATATTTATGGTACAAAGACACGAATAGAAGGGATGCTATACACTGCGCTCGAAGAATCTCTCTCGCCAGATAATCCCTCAACCGAGAATGAGGAAGATAGATTTGCGAGACCAGAGCCCTACCCATTCTATTTTCATCCCACCGATCTCGCCGGTGCTATGCGTTGCAACTGTCCAGATGAAGAGAGCCTCAGGGGCGCTCTCCGTCATTTAGGGTACGAGGTCACCCGGAGCCATTGTAAGGCAGGGAGCATGAAGACGAATGCGCCATGGTCTGTAGTGTGGCACGTCATGAGGGAGTGGACGCGACAGAAGAGGCCCGTAAAACCCGAGAATATCAAGGAAAATAGCCCGACATACAAGCTATTAAGGCTGGGTGGCACCGATAGGAAAATTGACAAGATCGACAAGTTGGAGGTCGTCTTTGATCAAGGGCTTGGCCGCGATACATCTAAGCCAGGACTGGTCCGTTATCAGACTAATCCCAAGAAAAATTGGGGTCCTCAGTCTCGAGCTACAGGGCACTGAAGTTAGGTATCTAAACGATGTCGATGAGCGCCGATGTATGTTGCATGGCTTGGACGAACGTAAGGAGTCGAGTCGTCGCCTCGTGGGATAATCACAGTTGACACCCTTTGTTTTCGCTTTACCGAAGACATACTGTGAGAAGCCCTAGCTCTTTAACATAAGTGTACTTGTCGTATGGTCTAAAGGTAAGGTGCTCCTGCAAACCTGGATCAAATTAGCAAGGAAGATTCACTCATCAACAATGTTCTCAGAAGATACAGACAGTGGTTACCTGTTATCCAAGGGTAGGTTAGGTAGGCATTGAAATGGAATTGCAATTGTACCGGCATCCATCCGACTTGCGGGTTGTAACAGGTACGTACCTAGGTACCATGGAGTACTTATGTAGTACCTATCAAGTACCTACCTAACTAAGGTAATAGATAGGCCACAGGTCCGGGGTTGGGTGCCAGGCTAAACCTTTTCTATTTTATCCCGCTTTGAAAAGTTGGCTGTAAGTTCCTTGATGATATAAAATTGGAAAATGTGGTTTTGATACCCAAAATTCAAACTGCACACGTCCAAAGAAGCTTCAAATAGCCATACCTGTAACACGGGCAGAGCTCTGGCTGGATCCGCCCTAGTTCATTGATTGATTCTATTGGCTACCTTGTTTTGTTATTTTAAGTATGTAGGTACCTCCCATAGGTGCCTAGGTTAGCTCAATGCAGTGTACTGGTTACCCATCTTCCTACCTGGGTAGCCTAGGTAGTCAGCTAGGCAGAGAACACCAGTGGTATGTATACACAACAACATATGCGATGGTTTCCAAGGGATGGCTGCCTACGCTCGGTAGGTAGACGATAGACGACAGCAACATTGATTGCACATTGCACATTGCACATTGCACATTGTGGATTCGAGGCTTGTTGCCCGTTCACCGGAGCCAACAAAATAAATAAATATCCACAAAGCCGCCGGATGTGCATGAGAGAGAAGCCAGAAGCCATCGCTCGTTTCTCGTCATATCCATCAATCCATAATCCATCCACCACGCCTTCTCAGCCACTCCCAGCTATGGCTCACCTCCTCAACGTCCCTCTCGAGGTGCTCCTCCAGATCACCTCGCACCTCACGACTCGCGAGTACGGATATCTCCGCCGCTCCTGCAAGCAGATCGAGGCGTTGTTGTTCGGCGCCTTTGCCCGGGAGTTCTTCTCGAAGCGGCAGTTCGCGCTGATCGGCTTCAGCATCCAGGCCCTCATCGACATCGCCAAGTCGCGGCTCGGCCCAAGCCTCACACATCTAATCATCCATCTGGAGCACCCCAGTGACAATGTGAGGCACATCAGCCCCGCCTCCCAGTTCTCCGTGGAACACAATCGGTATCATACCGAATTCCTCAACCATTGGGAGTTCGTCTCCACCGGCCTCGATGTCGACATGCTGTCGGACGCCCTCAGGCATCTACCCAACCTCGAGACCATTGGCATGCGAGATTTCCACTCGACAAGTCGTCATCGGGACGGCATTGCTTGGAACAGCTACGGCTGTCCCACATTCATTGCAGAGACGCGCAGCCAGTTGGTACTCTTTGCTACCCGGGATCGTGGTTCCGGGTATACTAGTCATGTTTTCTTGGTCATTCTTAGAGCAATTGGAAATAGTGCAGGTGTGTACATGCTCCCACCCACACATTCTTCCCCCCTGCAAGCAGGACGCTCCGCGATAGACGCATTACTACACCGCCCTGGGAGTGTCTAGGACAATGCTAACGCCTTGTCACCTAGTTTCTGGCAGGAACCCCAAGCTTACTCGAATGGAGGTCCTCTTACACACTTGCGGACTTCCAGATCAGTCGTTTAAGATACCTGATCGCTTCGACGCTAGGATTTCAACAGCACTAAGCAAGCTAACAACCATATTCCTAGATCACCTCACTGAAGAGCATCCCTGGTTTTGGGTCCGCAGCGCTTGTAACAACACCGAACCAGTCATGGGGATAGGATATTTTCTTTCGAGGTTCCTAGTGAAGGCCACATCTCTCGAGCACTTACGGCTGAACTTCCAGTCATATCAGCCTCGTTCCATTGCATCGATGCTACTATGGTTAGCAGACGCTAGGCAGGGTTTCACGGGCCCAATGCCAAAATCCGAGGACTTACCAATCCCTGGAAGCGCGTCCGCGACGGTGAAAGTAAGGCTCTCGCCAATAGATACCTTTGAATATGGAACTAATAGCCCTTTACGCTAAGGACCTCGATTCTCTACCCGAACATTTCCCACAGGCGCCAGAATTTCCGAAGCTGAAGACTATAGAGATTGGGATGGCAACTGTGGACGAATGGGTCCTGCATACCTTGTACCAAAAATATAAGTCAACTCTACAGGGTATCGGCCTCCACAAAACCACGCTCACCTGTGCGACAAATAGGAAGAAGGCTAATCTATTGGCCCGCTTATGCAACAAAATGGCACAATCCGACCTCCAACTCAGGGCTGTTCAATTCTCTTACATACAACAAACTTTAATAGGTCGCTCCCTGCACCGTGGCGAAATCCTCTTCAAGGAGTCAAGAAATAAGTCTGTGAAGGTCTGGAAAGGAAGCGCTTTTTCACAGTCGGTCAAAGACATCACCGACGAAATAGAATTCCGCTGCGTTGGTCCAGACATTGATGAATATGACGACGGTTTGTCAACCCTTCTTGCCTCCGTTACGACGTTCCCACCATTCCTAACCGCTGAATAGAATCTATGGGTAACGATGATGCCTAGGTGAAGGAGCTTGAGAAATGGGATATTTCAGGATTAATGGTGATAAGTGTGCTGGGGCTTAAGAGGTGCAAATATATTGGCTTCCTGTGACAAAAGCGAGTAGTATTACTATGAGACTATTTTTACCCGTATTTCTCGGGTTGCCTTGTGAATAAGCTACTACCGGCACAAGTACCTTGATATCATACGCTAGTAACTTTGATGGTATGTAGCTAAAGAGCATGTAACATCTTTTTGTATACCACCGGGAATTCCACCGTTGTACACTATATGATACAGTATGCCGAGCATATAACCAGGCTACCGTAGGGCCAATTAACTAAGCTTAAATGAAATTAAATACGCTTGCTTATTAAAAGATAGGAAATCCCTAAAATGTTAGTTACCCTTAACACCTAGCAACAACATAAAAACACTACAATGGCATTAACCACTTTATTTACGACGTAAATTTTTCGGTATGGTATCCCTTTAGTTGGGGTTTCAGCTCCAATACATAAAAAGTGGAATATCGGGGCTGCTTACATAAACAGATAACCCAATAATACAATTATCCGAGTATCATATTGTAATTTCATTGGTTTATTTATTTATGTAATCAATCCCGCAATTCCACTTTTTATGTATTGGAGCTAAAACCCCAACTAAAGGGATACAATGAAACCAAGCCATATCAAAAAGTCAATGACTCTTAGTCAATCAAGTAAAGCAAAACGATTGGGCTCAACCGGGATTCGAACCCGGGGCCTCCTGCATTCCCATGTAAAGATGGAAGGGAGCAACCCGAAGCAGGAATCATACCACTAGACCATTGAGCCAAAAACCATGCGACTTAGATCGCCAAGTCCTGAACTAGGAATCCCTATGATTAATATTGTATTGTTTCATAGTCGTTTGAGTATCAACTTCACAGATACACCCAAGAGTAATGCTTTTCAAATCAATGGCATTGTGAAATTTGATCTATATAGTGCTAGAGTAAATAGTCCTTTGTTTGCTTTACATTATTATTAAGTAAAATTGTTATTTAAACTTTAATGTCTTTATAGTTATAAAGTGATAAAGAGTAAATCAAACATAAAGTAAGGCATTAAGATAAGTTAAACTAAATTATAGGTTATGTAAGACTTCAAGCACTGTTATATACCTAGGCACTTGTTCTTCCTCGATTCTCATGTTACTAAACTTGCTTTGCTTAAGCACACAACCCCTTTGGCCTATATTTTTTTCTAACACTAGATTTCGAGGAAGCGCTAGTTGAGAATTTCTCAAAGACTCTTGACAGTCTTCTAAACATTTTTGTGGGGTTCAGGTACACTGTACAAGAGTCCCAGAAGGTAGAAAGGGAATTTAGACTAGAGGATCTCTTCGACGTAGCTGTAGGGTAATTCTATAGTTGCCTACGTTCCTAGAGTGGTGTGCACGTCTTTTCTACTCAAACGGGCTCCATGTATTCGTAAGCTTAAGAAGGAAGGGAAAGGCTTAAAGGGTAAAGACCAGACAGACGTATAAGAAAAGTCTCCCAACAATCTTTCTCACATACACGCACAACTTAATCAAGAGATCCTAACTACTTGAGATGGTAGCGACTGCAACAAGAAGACACGGATTACGGACGACCATGATAAAGCTCCTGACTACCTATAGTGACGCCTTTCACAAACCCGAGTTAGTAAGACAGAAAACATGACAGACGCAGACTGACAGCAGATGTTACTAAATGGATGGGTACGTAGGCAAGTACCTAGGTAACTAATATCAAATCACGCACACGGATATGAAGTCCTGAACTATTGATGTACCGGCAACGGCTTATACAATGTGAAGGCTAAGGAATAGATGCATATCTAGGGAGCAAAGGTCCACAAGGAACGAAGAATTCAAGTAAACGTGAAGTGCAGCCGCCAGAAATGACCCGAGGTTTTCGTAGTATTGAGTAACGTAACGATGTTGTTCTATGGAGCCACGATAGGATTGAGTCAGTCTTCGGTGCGCAGCAGCTTTGACCCATGATACACAGCCCTGCTCGCTCGGGCCCGGAAAGCATGCGTGATCAGATCTCAGAAAATTAAGGCATTCCAAGTTGAACAGAGACCAGCGGCCGGTAGCCGTGATTGGTGTACGGCTATGTGTGGACGTGGAGACACGACGAATCCTGGACGTTGTAGAGCAAATAGTCGTTAGCCAATCGTAGATTTCCTCGGAGGTGGTCACTGGATCCGTTCATGACCATCTGTTCTAGGCCACTCGTTCAGGGTCTCTGGCCATTCATCGATGGGGATTTGGTGAGGTTTGGTAAAGCAAAAGATGGCTCGTTCGGATCACACGTCATGTACTAAACCCTGAGTTGAAGTACAACGTATGCAGCAGGTCCAGGAGGTTATTATTCCGATTCATTAATACGTGGAGACTGGTCTATAAGGCGTTTAAGGTGACATTGATGGATTCACTGGAATCTGGTTTTAGTTTTCCCCTTTTCTTTTTCCTATTTCAGAGTCCTTTGCCAATCGTGACCCCTTTAGGAGTCTGGTGTCTAACTGTCTGCCCTGGACACGTGCAGATCAAGAGCTATAGCCAGATCAATATTTCGTAATCTAAATGGCAAATACAATTGGTCTATAACGAAGGTAACTATAGGTAGGACGGCTCTGGGTGAGCATATTACCCTTCACGGTTGGTAGGTCGGTTCATCTGATTCCTTACAGCTTATAAGGGTTTTTATTATATTGGTGTTCTTCGACAGTAGTGACCATAAGTCCCGAGCTGAGTGAGACTTGGTACTTTGTATCCGAGCATTCCGTGGCACTACACCGGTCCTAGTTGCTTGCCCCGAAAAGTTTCAAGTCTAGGTCAGTATCTCATAGCAGTCATTATCGAGGCTGGCGGCAGTATGGTGTGGTCAAGAGAGTATAGTATATTCCAGTTAAGGTGAAAGCTGCCTCTTTTCCCCCGACCTGCCTTAATGGAGATTTGTTGTAATTTTGTAACCCATTTGATCTTATTACTTACTATGAGAATACTTACGCAGATTCTTTGTTTATTTATTTCAAATGGCCATTTATCTGTTTTATTATTTTATTGTATTTTATTTATTTGATTCTTCTCTTCAGTTTTATTTGGACCGCTTAATTTAGCGAAAGACAGGACTCCAACAGGCGCCTGGTCATTCTTGAGCCTCGCTCAGATGTTTGCATGCGTGATACTAATCGCTTAGCTGCAGAATCTCCCAGGGATATCTGCAGGTGTGAACTAGATCTTCCCAAATGGAAGCTCCCGCAGCGCGAATTAGTGATTAAGGGTTGCAACAAAAAATGAATCTGCACAAGTGAACTAGTCAGCCAAATTAATACCGGCACTCGTGTTTTGACCAAATGAAACAAGTATCGATCGTCCCTAGGGAGAGGGGACGAGACATATTTCTATTTATAATCGTCACACCGGTACTCAATCCTTCCAATACTATGTATGCAGTTGGACTGGATTTCACAGTAATATTTTAAAATGTGATATCATTCTCCCAAGCACAACGCTGGTATCACCTTGTGTAGCAGTTACATGACCTGTGCTTCCCTATCCGTTGCGTGTTACGCTTTCTGGTGAAAGTCGGTCACTCTAAGTTCAACAAGTGTGTTATTCATACCACCACCATCGTGAATTACGGATGGGAGTTCTTGGGTCGTAAGGAGCAAAATTATATGACTGCAACTGGCATTATCCAGCTACCAACGATTCTAGCCGACGTGAGAGCTATTAGGTACTAGTAATGCCGCTGTTCAACTGATTTGCCTTGCTGTATACCAACATTATAAGCTTGTCCTCGCTTATCTGACCTATGTATCCCCAGGATAAAGCACGAGAGAGTCAACAACACCTGCCATAAGTGGAACAGGGTAGTACTGCGTCAGGATGTTTTGTTTGTTTGTCGGTCGACAACGCAGACTACGTGATCGTCGCCGGACCAGTAGACTTCAAATAGATTTGCCCCGCACGCCCACGAGATTTCGCATTCCGGGACACAGCCGGGGTTTTTTTCCGTCGTGATGCCATGCTGTCACTGGTGTTTCCAACGAGTTTGACATGCTCCATAGCAGAATGCTATTGCAACATGCGGTGGTGTATGCTTGACAGTGGCCCACCGGACATATCGACCAACTGGCGGGATACAAGCTCTTTGCGGTGAGACGGAAGGCATCCCTAATTGCACAAACCTGACTCTGACACAGGCTGCGCTGGACGTAATCTTTTAACGTGGTGGGGGGGATCAGCATTGATTCTATGTATGGTGTCATTTTGCAAACACCATGTACACGATGCCCATTAGATAGATACCTGGGTACTTGGAATGTCGCACCAACCAACATTGAAGGTAAGGCACATTGGCAAGCACGGCTTTCGCAACAGCTAGTATTGCAACAGAATACCAAGCGTGATCCTCCCGATAGGTACCTAATTTACTGGTACCGAGCCAGTGATCCGAAAATGTGCATCATACATGTATGTATGTAGGTATGTGTGTGTGTATGTATGTATGTATGTATGACATCGTATCTAGGTACCTCCTACTATACATATCTACTGACGTGCTGAGATGCAGTATGCAGATCAAGTGCTCGATCATGTACGAGGTATACACACGTGTTATTTGCAGGGCCTGTGCGTAAGTAAGAGGTATGGAATACCTCCAGCCGTAAGCGTTACTGCGGGTTGCGTAGCGTGGGGTGGTACATACTTCAGTCTTGATTCTTGATTTCATCATTCGTATGTAGTATTTACGGTAGATGTGATGTCTAAAGCTTGTAGCCTGTGGTACTTACTCATACCTACCTACTCCTCCTACCTATTACTACCTACATATGTACCTACCTACACCGTACTTCATGTGCCTATGCATAAGCGGCTATCTAAGTACAGGCGTACCTAAACCTACCTATAGACGCAAGAAACTTGTAGGTAATACATGTACCAAGTCGGATTTTAGATCCCTACATACATTACCTGCATGGTCGGGGCAGCCAATAGGTACCTGGCAGTCCTACAGCCCACAGGTAGCTCCCAAGTTCCCAGTCCAAAATCACATGTACATATCGTTTCTTCTTCATAGGCCGTCCCGAGCTCAGATTGCGAATGTCTGAATAAAACTACATATATTGACTTCGTAGACCTACATATGTAAGGATGTAAGGAGGTACTAGTACTTTTACATCAAGAGTATTTTCGTATGGTTGTACGTTGTACAACACAGACCCATAATTTAGGTATTAGCTGTCGCTTGCCTACCCCTCACCTTGACCCTACCTAGGATGTAGGTACCCAAGTACGCCAACTGCTCCAGTATGTACTTTGAAGGGAACGTGGTCTGGCGGATATAAGGAACAAGGACGCTAAACATCCCACCGTGTATTTACTTATTTACGCTCGCATTCCCCTCTTTCGGAAACCTCAACAGCAATTCATACTTTCATCCCCATACACAAATCACAACTCAACAACAACCAACAAGACCAATTCATCTTCACAATGGGTGTTACTAAGACCATCCTACAAGAAGGCTCTGGTGCCCAGCCCACTGCCGGCCAGACCGTCACCATCGAGTACACCGGCTGGCTCAAGGACACCAGCAAACCCGACAACAAGGGCGACAAGTGAGTATTATTGAAAATGTTCCCCGACCTGAACCGAAGCTACCCCGCCATCCGTCCATTCCCAGCACTGGCACCGCTACCACCACTACCACCACCACCATCGTCACCAACACAACCGCTGCAACCACCATTTCAGGGAGACCGCCTAGGTATTCTTCCGTGCCTGTCGTGTGCCT